GCTTATACACTGGTCTGATCGAAGTGTAACTGATGGGTAAGGTGTACTATTCTGAGCTATGGTTTGGGCCTGTCGGGGGCATGTCGCTCCTCCAGCCCCCCTGTCCTTGGTCATGAGACTTAAGAGTGCGTCCACGATAGGACCAGGCAGGGGTGGCACAAGCCATCTCACCGATTTCAATGAAACTTTGCCAGTTTAAAGGGGTCCACCCAAAACTACTTAAGTCTAAGTTTAAGGAAATTTGGTCAAACTGGGGGATTTCACAACCCCTCCTTGTTTTTTTTTCAAAAATGACCAAAAATCGCCTAAAAATGGTCAGAAGTATAAAGCTCTACTGCTGTAAGAATTCAACCAAATCTTTTCATATTTTCAGTGAATGTTATCCTACCCAAGGACAATCTATTGTCAACGTTTCGTTCTCCTACGACCAGTTCCATTACACAAATCATGTCAGCCAAGACCGCCTCTCTCACCCAACAGTGAAAACTGTTAAAATACCCAAAGTTTAGGCCAAAATATCTCCAGTGCCCGAGCATGCTTCAAAAAGCTGAGCATACCGTCTAAAAGGTGGAACTTCATACTAACATTATCTGCAATAAAATCTTTGGGCACTCACTGAATTATTTTTCAGGAGGACTGCAAACTTGTCTCCCACCGCAGGTTACCTGCTTCAGTTTTTTTTCATTATTATGCGTTGATTCTGTAATTATGGCACAGCAACAGACAGAAAATGCCACAAAATGGTTACACACCACACACTTTAATGAAACACATTTACCTCCTGGACGCCTCCCTGGGGAGGTATTCCGGGCGCTTCCCACCGGGAGGAGACCTCGGGGAAGACCCAGGACACGCTGGAGGGATTATGTCTCCCAACTGGCCTGGGAATGCCTAGGGGTCCCCCCCGGAAGAGCTGGGGGAGGTGTGTGCGAATCGGGAAGTCTGGGCGGCTTTGCTAAGGCTGCTGCCTCTGCGACCCGACTTCGGATAAGCGGAAGAAGATGGATGGATGGATGTCTTTATAATTATTTGTGCATTCAAACTGGCAAATGACTTCTCTACAGGTCATCATAAACATTATTACAGTTATAGGGGCATTATTATAGCAAAACTAATTGTCCATGTGTATGGTGAGTTGTCTCTCTGTATCTCAATCCGTCCGTCCAAAGTGAGATTTGTCTATGTGTAAAAGAAATTGTCAGTGCAAACCGAAATCTACAAAAACTGTCTCACAATTTGTCTGTCTGTAATCAGTTTTTCAAATGTGCAAAAAATCTGCTCATCTGTATTAAAATTCGAACATGTAGTAAGAGTTGTCAATGCGTACAAAGATTTGTCAATGCGTACAGAGGTATTCGTAGTTGAAAAGTCTTCATATTCGAATACAAGTGCTGAAAATACAGACAAATCACCAGTTACGAGTCGAGCGGCTTCACCATTGGCTGTCTTTTAACACATGACTGTTGCTACACTTACACTGTGAGAGAATCTGAAACTGAAAAGTATTTGAAATTGAGGGATTCTGTGTCCTGAGCTCAGGCTCACAGGATCGTCCATTGTGGCTGCTACCGCTCTGCTGCCCTGTACCTCAGTAGTTGTCAGGCAGCACTATGCATCAGAGTCTTTGAGCTGTGAGCTTGTTTAACCATTTATTCGCCTCCTGTCAACCTTCTTTTTATCTTCTTTTCCTCCACATTTTTTCTATTTTATCTACTAGTTCTTTGCATTTTCCTTCATCTAATTTACTTTCTAAATTAGTCCACTCCCAGAAGATATAAAGCCACAGTGGGAGGAGTGGATAAATGATTTTACCACCTATATGACTTCCATAACATTGTCAGAGTTGCACCATTTTTCGGATGGCAGCTGTGTGGGATATGGTGCATGTTCTTACCTCAGGTATAAAGACAACAAGGATGAGGTCCATTGCAGTCTTGTAATGGCGAAAGCAAGAGTTGCACCCTCAAAAGTCACAAGTACCCCGAAGCTAGAACTCAGCAGCTGTGGTTTCCACAAAAGTCAGTGTCAAGCTAAATAGTGAACTTGACACGAAGATTGATGAAGCTTTCTTGGACAGATTCACAAGTTGTGTATGGATATATAAAAAATGATGCCTGTAGGTTCCACATGCTTGTTGCGAACCAGCTAATAAGGGATAACAGTGATCCCAGTCAGTGGCACTATGTGGACACTGCAGAAAACTCAGCCGATCATGCATCCGAAGGTCTTTGTGCCTCAGACATTCATTCAACAAATTGGCTGAGAGTCCCAAAGTTTCTCTGGGAGTGTGAATTACATTTAACATCCAGCACTCCAACAGAATTACTCGTTGGTGATCCTGAAGTCAAGACAATTCAGGTGCTTGCAACAGAAACCAAAAACTGCAATGACATCCTCAGACGTCTGAGTCAGTTTTCTTCCTGGGTAACAATTCTTAAGGTGGTTGCAAGAATCAAGAGGCTGGGGTCTAAACAGAAACAACACAGTGAGCATGTGACTGTTGAGGAGTGTGAGAAGGCAAAGGAGGTGATTCTAATCCCTTTTCCACCAAGAAGAACCAGGTGCTAGTTCCCTGCTGCTGCTAGGGCCAGTGCTTAGTTGGTTCCAATCTGGCACCTCCTAAGAACCTGTTTGCTTTTCCATCGTCAAGGAGCCAAGTTAGAGCCACGCCATACGTCACTGCATATGCAACTATTTACCGGACAATGCTCGTGCCATATGGAAATCCACACAGGGCTCCAGACCAACTTTTTTACTGGTGCAACCAACTTTCTCATTTGTTCACACTTCACACCATGTCACAGGCAAAACATACAACTGGCTGAAAATTGTATTATCAATAGACACTACAATTTCCCATGTTCCGACTGGTGTGCGAACAGCAATGACTTTAAAAAGAGCAAACTATGTCAGATGTCAGATGAAGATGAAGCCAAGTGATTTTTTTCTCATGAGCGGAATAAACAGAGCATGTAGGTGCGCTCCGTTTTTCATGAGAAGACCACATTTCTAAGCGTAAATACCACAATACATCAAAGTTATAGAAGTACTGTTTTCCACCACTGTGGTGCTACTGGTGGGACACAAATGCAGCGGACAGTTTGTGCAAAACTTGTGTGTGTCCCTGGACTCCTCCTAATACATCTGTGACCAGAGACGTCTGGGCAAAAAACAACACAAATCACCTCTTGTGTGTCCCATTGTTACGACTGTGGTCGTATTTGTTTATAGAATATGATTGTTTCCCTTGGATATTATTTCCTTTGATCGGTGTGTGACCCGTTGTGATTCCTTAAATATGCAAATAGGCCTGCGCCAAAGTGACCACTGGATTGGATGATCAGCGGAAGTTCCGATCTTAAATACGGAGGGAGGACTTCGTCAGTGGTGCAGAGAGAGGTTCAGATGGGGTCAGATGGGCGGAGCCATTCCTCACCGGCATCCCAACCAGCACATCACCACGTCATCACTCTCATGTATTGTCGACTCTGTGAATGGAGTGAGCTGCTACCTTTTTTTGTTTAACCCGTTTTTTCATGTTTGTGTTAGATAGGGAGGCCAGACTTTGTGTTTATTTTCAATACTTTTATTTTGATAGGCAAGTTGGTTCTCCCCTGCTTTATTGTCGTTTTGGTTGTTATTTTCGGTAGAGCTCACTCTTATTTTAAGTTAATCATCCCCTTTGTTTCAATGAAACATTTATTATAAATAAATTACTATTTGTCCTGGTAAAAGTGCTGTGGTGTGGCTGCTTGGGACCGGAGAAGGATGGCGCATTCATGTTGCGTTCAGGTGCCCCTAGACTGGGCACAACACCCATTCATCAGTCTCGGTGGTCACGATAACCCTGCCCCCAGCCCCTGATGTACTCAGTGCTTAGCTCTGGCCCAGCAAAGAGTTGATGCTTGCTAAGCACCAGTTTTGAGAGCCTGGAGCTGGTGGTTAGGTGGTGGAAACACAAAGAACTGCTGCCAAGTCAGGCACTAGCACGGAACTCGCACCGGAACCGGTGTGGTGGAAAAGGGGTATAAGATCGTACAACAGCAAGCCTTCCTCATGAGATAAAGATGCTGTAGGGTGGAAAAGACCTTCCAAACTCAAGCTGTCTTTTCAGTCTCAACCTCATCTGGTCTGAAGGACATCTCTGTCTTGGTGAGAGATTGAAACAGTCATCGCTCTGTCACAAAGTCAAGCACCCAGTCAGCTTACCAACTACCAGCCACATCACCAAATAGATTCTATCATGACCACCTTAGCCTCAGTCCGAGCCCTTGCCTGTCTCCCTCTTTTTCTCCCTCTCCCTCTCTCTCCTTGCTCACCTTTTCAGTCACTCCAGCCCTGCTTGCAGCCTGTCTGATCGCAGGTATTGGAGACAGCTGTGGAGATCAGCTCAACTGCACTCAATCATCCACCTCCTGCTATAAAGCCCTGTTCATTCCACCAGACCATGTGTTTCTTTCTGCCAGTCCCAATTTTGTCACCTTCCTTCCCTCCTTCCTTCCTTTCCTGAGCTGCTGCCACCTGGACCCCCCTACATCAGCAACACACTCTCTAGTCAGATCCTCCCCGAGCCAGCCTTCTCCTGCCACTGGTCCCTAACCTGTTTCCTGTGTCCAGCCCGCATTCCCCGAGCCTGACCCAACCTCCCCCCACCCCCAATTGTGTGTTGCTTACAACATAAAACCTTTGCTGGGGCTCGTCAGTGTCAAAGTCAATATTAAAAAAGCTGCAAATGTTATTCTGTTTAAATACATTCATAACATTTCACAAAGGATTTGTAGAGCTGCAGAGTTTTTTTTTAAACTTTATTTACAATCAATATGGAGTGCAAAACAAGTTTAGCATTTACAATTATCCATTAAGAAATAAATCACTGATGAGGGAAAAACAGATGACAGATTAAGTTCATGACATGTGGCTGTAGTTTTCACACAGTTTGACCTGTACAGCATTACAGCCTGTGGAGATCACATTTTTAATCACACATTAAATCAGTAAAGGTGGTTTCTGTTTGGGGAATTTGCTGCTATGTATGTGACATTTTGCTGATGATGAAATTAGATTAATGACATTTAAAGATGTAATGATGGCTGTGGAATGAAACACTATGACTGTCTTGACTGTATCAACTACCTCTCCAGGTACCAACAGAAGTCCACTTCATCTCCTCAGTTGTCTGTCTTTGAAACA